GATGCACAGAGACCACGAAGAAGATGCAGCAGTTTCCTTGATCAGCCACACAAAACAAAGAAAATGAAAGAAAATCAAGCAGCAGCAAGTACACAACAGGGTAAAGGTAACATGAACATACACTAATTGTTGGTCTACTTATCACCGATAAAAAACCAGGGAGACTTACTTTACCAGATTCTTTTTAAGTTATTCAATTTACTTGCCACATTAAAAGGGTACCCTCCTTCCCACACAGCAGGTCTGAAAGGGGATGTGCATCTTATGAGGCTGCCATCACTTTTACTACCTTCATATTCCTAGCAGAATATAGAATGGATCAGGGAATAGATTGACATGTCATGACAAAGTGAGATGTCACTACTTCCTAGTGAATTAATCTGATGCTCATAGCTTTCAGATTCGTGCGCCATGAGTTCTTGGAATACGTTTGATACTGTCTCAGAGTCCATGCATATCTGTACTCCCCCAACAAAGGAAAAACAGAGGTCACTTTGACGCTGAATTGAATGGCGTGTGCGCAGCCAAAGGCCTATGAATATACAGTAAACAATAAACATCATAATGGGGGGATGGGAGCAACACATATATTGTTACATCACCTCTGTACTCTGGGGGCAGGCACTGGCTTGGGAGGGAAAAGGATATCGGAGACAATTATGAATAAATGGATTGCTTACCTTTGTATAGATGTGGATTCTATCAGTGTTCCTACTTGCACAGAACAGGAAATCATTATACACTGAATAGGAATGTGAATCTTCTAGATTATCTGTAGGGAAAAATTGTGATTTGAAGTTACTGCAAAAGTTGCACATTAATAGCCTTAAAGCAAATATACATGCCATTCCTCTTGAAGCATATATTGTCCCCACTTACCAGGAACCTCCTATGTCCCCCTTTTGCTAGAGCAGGGTTCCCTGGCACCCACCAGTACAAGCTTTTCAATAGGTAGGTGCAGCCAATGTAAGGCAGGGTTGCTATTGGCTGTCATTGTTCAGATTAAAGGCTTTTTGCGTTGGAGAAGCAAGAAGACTGGAAAAAAAAAACATTCCTCAGTCAATGTGTGGTTCCATTGCCCCTTCAGGCTCTCCTTCTTCCCATGAGATGTGAGGAGGGAGCTACTCAGTTTGTCTCCACATCCTGTAACAACCATTTTGAGTTGGGCTCTGACTCCTGGGGCAGCTCAGGTGGAGGTGGTGCTCATCACACTCAAAATTCCAAAGCTGACCATGAGCTCAAAAAAAGTCGGAGACCCCCCATGCTATAAGAAGGCTTGCACAAAACTAAGCAGTATGGCCCACCCTGGAGTGCTCTTTATGGCTACATTTATAGGCCAGTATTAATATCTATCATATTTTTATCCCACCATTTCTTTAAGGAGATCAGAGTGGCGTACTAGATTCACCTCTCCCCCTCCACTTTACCCTCACACAAGATCTAGGAGAGAGGTTAGGCTGAAAAGGAGTGACTAGCCCAAAGTTACTCAGAGAGCTTCATAGCTAAGTGAAAATTTCTACTGGGGTCTTCCTAGCCCTTTCCTCACATCCAATTCTTTTGTTTTAACAGTATGCAATGTCTCATAAGGAGCTGCGGTGGCTCAAGTGGTTAAGACGCTGAACTGCAGGCTGTGGAAGGTCAGTAGTTCAGCAGTTATAGGCCCGGGTGCCGCATGATGGAGTGAGCTCCCATCTCTAGTTCCAGCTCCTGCCAACCTAGCAGTTCGAAAGCAAGAAATTGCAAGTAGATAAATAGGTACCACTTCGGTGGGAAGGTAACAGCATTCTGTGCGCCTTGGTGTTTAGTCATGCCGGCCACATGACCACGGAAACGTCTTCGGACAGCGCTGGCTCTTCGGCGTTGAAACGGAGATGAGCACCGCAACCCTCGAGTCGGATTCGACTGGCTTTCGAGCAAGGGAACCTTAACCTTTTACCTAATGTCTCATAATAGCCCCACCCCTGTCAACTCAGTAATGCATTGAGGTATGTAACTCCACAATCAACATTATTAATCTTTCCAAACATAGCAAATGTTAGGAGTGTTTCTTGCTATAAGCCCACGGTGACAAAACCCCACTAGAGCTCAAGAGTGCCACCTAGAGATTCTGGAATTTTGGACACCTAGAGTTATTAGAATAAGCCATTCATTTTCATTCCGCATTTGGACCATCCTGCCAGATTTAATCCTTTTTGGACAAAGGACAATTCAGTTTTGGCCAGACCACCTATTTGTCATGGAGGTTCAGGGACATTACCAGATGCTTGATGGCGTGGGACTATCATTTTATAAGTCTGATTTGTAACAGGACCATCCGACATAAGAGGTGGAGCTTTTCCTGACATTGGCTCAATCAGCTCATCACTCTTAGAGAGGAGCCTGGTTTAGGTCCCATTGACCATAAATATCGGGGCATTTGTGATTTTCCCTTGTCTTCAGCGGAAACTGGGGTCTAAAGGTGGTTGTAGTAGGGGTTAAGGACTCCTCCAACATCATGTTACTGCAAGGAGCTATGTCCATGCTGAGGAACCTGCTATAGCCTAAGTAACATGTAATTAGCAGAGTTAGATCAACTGTATTACTTTTTATTTGGCAGTCTGTGCTCTGTGTTCTTGTGTGACTTTTCCCTATATTTTGTTTTGCTCTTTCCCCATCACTTTTTTAATCCAACCAACCTTCCCCCCCTTTTAAATATATGTTTTTATAAAGACATGTTGGCTTTGCTTATACAATCTCTCTCTCTATGATATTTCTCTTACTATCTTACCCATGTGTAGATTGCATGAACACGACATAGTTTGCCATAAGGTATTTCCCAGGGTTTCTACTCAGTTACTTTATTATTGATCTAGTATTGTGTTAGAAGGATATCTTCTCACTGGGTCAGAGTTGTGGCAGCTCATTACCAGGGTGCTTTCCAGGGAACCCTGGGTCTGAGGGAGTTTCCCAGCAACCTTCTCCCCTTCCTTCTGTAACACCCATCAAATTGGTGAACATGGATGCAATAAGAATCACAATCCTGCTATGATCTCTGGAAATAACTGAGAGTATTACCTTATCTTTATCATCTAAGGACTGATTTCAAGCAACAAGAGCAGAAATACTTGTTCTTGGCAATTATTCCTCTATCTTTGGAACTTCCTGTCCCTCAACATCTTGCTCTTCCAGACATCCTGCAAAGTTTTCCCTATCAGGGTGATACTTTCGTAAACACTGATAGTCCAGATTTAGGTTTGCTGTTACATATGATATAAACATTTTATCTTTTAAAGACATGTAGTCAATATTTGGACTTTTGCAAAACTTATACCTATGCTGATTTCTTGCAGGCTGGGATTCGCAATGAAATGTTTGATAGTACACAAAAACATTCAGGGTTTTTTGCATGCTCACAAAAGACTTGCTAATCAATTGCTCCAGAAGGAAAGTTAGCTTTTCCTACCTCCTCTGAGCCCTTGCTCAGAATGATTGGATTGCTTCTCTTCAGCAATGGCTGCTCCTTCCTTGATTTCACCAGTCAGTAGTCCTAAGCTTTGACCATCATTAAGGCTTCTAGTGCCTGGAGCTACAGTTTCATTTTTGCTCTGGACAGAGCTGCTCATTTGACTTTTGTTCTGTTTACCTATGGATAGTAAAACAAAAAAGAACTGTAGTTATACCTTCTTTCTGTACAAGTAGGTAAAATCCCAGTGCCCCAAACATTACTTTCATAAGTTCTAACACATATCCTGTCAATTGATTCATAAAGAGATCTGTTTATACAGACTGGCAATTTTTAAGGTGAAAGGAATGTCAGACAAAACGCCACCCAAATCCTCCCTTTCACGTGAAGAAGTGGCATTAGAAATTAAAATCCCATGTAGTTCTCAAATAGCAAACGGCACAGACTTGGCATACTTGAATAACTAAGCATAGGCTGTATGAACAGCAGTCTAATTCTGAACACCACTCAGTCTGGAAGAATTCCAGAGATGCAAATGTTAAGAGGCAGGAGAAATTATAATCCTGTCTTGGAGGGTTGGATCCAAAGCTCCATAAATGTAGTGGAGTTGGGGGAACAGGACTCCCTGCCTTCCTCCTCCTGGGGCAATGCACTGGGCCCTCAGAAATTATTTTCCATTGGGTCAAGAGACCCTTGGGAACTTGCTCTCCTTTCCTCTGCCAAGAGGAGTGCTGTTCCACTGTTGCAACCGTTGTTACACTGGCAGAATAGCACCTTTGGATTCTGCTCTGAGAGAGCTAAGAGGTTTTTCTTTAGATATTAAAGGATGGTGAGAATTGGACAGCTGTGCAGTTTGAAAATCCAACTTTCCTTTATGATTTCTCCACACTTGGGATAATGTGATTGAGGAATGAGATCACAGTATTAACAAAATTCTACAGAAATATTGCCATTAAATCTGACACCTGTTTTTGCCGTCGTGTGTGTTAAAAAATAAAAATAGGAAAATCGGCCAAAGGAGAAAGGCAGGACGAAAGTGGTCTTCATGACCCTGAATGAAAACCAAAAGAAATGAAAGAACTCATGTATATATCCTAGATGGATCAAACAAAAGAAAGTCCCTTTTGCAAACTTAATTCAGGGAAGGGTTAGATCTAACCATAGCATGTGCTTAAAAACATAACCAAATATAATATGAAGCAACTTTTATTCCTTAACGCACCTTTATTAGCATAACAAAATTTTATTCCTAAGCATGAAGCAATTGTAATCTTTCCAAGTATAATTTTCTGGCATGCTTCAGAGGTGAGTTCCTAGGACAACTGCCTACCAAATACATCATTAAGTGAAGTACCCACACAAGCTTGTGGAGAGCTACATATCTTCATAGGGAGTCAAACGGCAACAACTCTGCTGAACAAGAGCCCAGACAATAAAAGTACCATAAAAACTGAAGTCCACTCTGACCCATTATATTTACTTCATGGTAATATAAGAGACATCAGTGACACCAGATTTATGGCATGCTATAAATTCTGAAGGTTTTAGAACCATCGAACTACCTTCAAGTCCCTCTGTTCACATATTTTAGGTCTTTTTTAATGCCATTACTAAAACAAAGCTGCACTCTTTAAAGCACAACAAGATTTTCACTGGGAGTTTACTTACTTTTTTGTTCCCGGGGAGATTCACATATTTCACAGTAAGGTAGCAAGGAACTATTACAGTAAGTACAAAGACTGCAGTGCCAGGCTGCTTCTGAAGTGGATCCTTTGCTTGAATTAAACAGCAGAGTACCATTGTCCACTGGAGCAGTTTCTTTTGGATACGAACAGTTTGTTTTTCCAAACAGAGATTTTCTCCCTTTCTTAGAAGTACTCTTTGGGGTAGAAGGCTCTAACGCTCTTGATCTCTTTGCCTCACTGCAAACCACATCTGCATCATTTACTTCCCTGGAGTCCATATCATCTATGTCCTCTGCAGCTTGAGAAGAATTTGGACTAAAATTCAAAGATTTATCACAAGAAGCCATTTTCCTCTTTTTGTCAGCATTTGGTTTTGGTGACAAGAAGGTGCGAATGTCATGCTGTTTTTCTTTCTCAAACTAGAACACAGACAGAGACCAAATAAATGTGACATGGCAGGTGACATGTTTTTCATTATCTATTATCTTCCTTGGTGAGTGTTTGCAATGCTCCCAACTGGAGCACTTTGGTAGGAAGAAGCTTTCTTTCAGAAACATCATTTAAAAGCAGTCTGTGAAAAACAATGGATTGGATCCAATAATTCATATGCAGAGGTCTATTTGCAGAATGGAGTCTTCATGTCTCACCCCCCTGCATGTAGCCCTCCACACACCCCTGAAATGCTGCCCCCATGTTTCAGGGGACCATGAAGAGTAGTTGGTGCAATGCTTGAGTGTTCAGTGGGAGGGCAGACAAGACAAAAACAGCTCACATGATACAACTCAATATTTGAGACCTGTCAAAGTTAAACCATCACCCTTCAAAATACAGACTACTATTATCGCTGCTTTCCTACGCTAATTAATCTGGTAAACAATTCAGAAGGAAAGGATTTACATGCTATCTAGTGAGGGTATAGCTTCACTTGAAAGGCTGTGAATTATCTGGAGCGTTTACCTTTCGTTACTTCCAAAATCTCTAAACCGAATTACTGAGCTAAATAAAAATGCTCTGCAGTGTGTTACCCCAGAAAAGTCAGTGTTCCTTAACCTTCTAAAATCCCATTACCTTTGCAAGTCAATACTTATCACTTCTAGAGTAGGCTGAAGATTCAGGAGCAGTACAAGCTATTTATAATACCAGCTTGGGCAAAGGAATTACAAAAATATCATTTTATATCTCAGTGGTTGTTCGCATAGCACAGTCGGAATCATATTGGCTACTGTGCATGACTGGAACATCTTGTGCCTCAGCACCTGTATGCAGTTTTCCTGCTGTAGTGTTACATCAAACTGAGTCACATAATTCTTGATGGCCACAAGCATAGATAGCTTCAAAGCAGGGTTAGACAGATTCATGGAGGAGAGGTCCATGAATGACTACTAGCCATGGTGACTGAAGGGATTCTCCATATCCAGAGGCAGCCAACCTCTGAATACCATGCTGAGAGGCAGCAGTATGGGAGGGCCTTGGTCTCTATGCACAGTTTGGCCCTCCAGGGCAACTGGCTGGTTGCAGTGTGAAACAGTATGCTGGACTAGATGGGTCACTGATTGTATCCCGCAGGCTCTTTTTCTGTTCTTTTCCCAATGCTAATTTCCTGTATTAGAGAGTTACCATAGCTTCATAGCTGCGTAGAAAAACCACCACCACCCTTTTAACACACACACACACACACACACACACACACACATACACACACACTCCTTCCACCCATGCATCTTCACAAGTATCCCTTTAGGGAGGAAAAAGTGTCCTGATATGATCTCCCACAAATGCTATGAACCAATTTTGTTAAGTATCAAAAAGATTCCCAAACGTGACTGTGCCAAAAACAAGAAGGTTATTAGCAAGAGAAAGGAGATCTAAGTGGCAAAACCAGGCATGTGAAAGGCTCCGCCCTAGCTCATGAAAACATTTTTGTTTTCTCTACAGAATGGGCAAGATCCAGATTTAGTTTTGGTGGACCCCATTAACATTCTATGGGTTCAGGTCTCTGGATCATAGAAATGGAGCACCCGATTACAGTTGTTTACCAAAAAAGTTAAACGGTCAGATTTTAAAATTTGTTTTTAGATTCAGATTTAGTCAGCCTCAGACCATTCATGCACACAATATACAATCCAAGTACTATTAATTCCTAACAACAGCCCCCCAGAAAGTCACTTTAAGACACATTAAGAAAGAAACATGGCTTTAGTCTTTTGGGCGTGAAGTTTAAAACAAGCAACAATGTAAGTCTGGAAATTTTAAGAATTCTTTATCAGATAAACACAGCAAAAACAGTTATATCTGCATACTCTTACATGGGTGAATAAAACCTCATTTTTAATGTCATTCAGACTTTCATTAGGAGCCCAGGCTTCAGCAAAACTCAGGAAATCCCATTTCTCTCTACTGCCTTCTTCAGCCAGCAGTTTTTCTTTCCTGCCATTTAGTGTGGTGCCTGTAACTGCTGCCTGTATGTAGAAGAATGGAAAAGCATTATTTCACATGGTGGGACTTACAATAAATATTACGTGTATCCAGGGGTCGTTTCGTAGAAAAAGAGCTAGGGGAACTCATTAGCATAACTCATTAGCATATGCCACACACCCCCGATATCACCGGAAGTGTGTCATAAGGCCACACCCCCTGACATCACGGGAAGTGTGTCATAAGGCCACACACCCCACCCCCAACGGTCCCGGCCGGCGGGAGTACAAGGAAGCCCTGCAAAGGCCCTCCCTGGCCCCAGGCAGGCAGGGGTGGGGAGAGGCAGGGAGGAAGCAACTTACCCTCCCTCTTCTCCTGCCTCCTCCTGGCTGAATGAGGGTTGGAAGCGGGGTGGCCAGAAGCAGGGAGTGGGGCTTCGTCATGTGTCCCGCCCCCCGTACCTCACCCGGGGGACCTGCGATCCCCCGCGATCCCCCCCGAAATGACCTCTGCTTGTATCCAAAACCATCAGTGTTGTAGAGAAAAAGCTTTTCCCACCATTCTCAGGTTCGGTAGTTCTGCCTAGTAGGATCCATAATGTCTACTCACTATTGCTCTCCCCCACTTTGTATTAATTCTTCCCCATAGCCAAGTGGCTGGAGAAGGTGAAAAGTCCTACTGTCATACAGCAGCAGGATAGGAACAAGAAATCCTTTGCCTCAGCTTGACTAGTGGAAGTAAGGAACACAGTCCAAAAGCTGCAGTCTGATTGTCTAAAGGAAATCTCCTCCTAAAGTTGCCCTTTGCATTAAGATGGTTTGCAGGGACCCTGTGGTGGGTATATACCTCTGCCACCTGAACTGTGGCAGGTGGCCACAAGGCCTATTTTTGATTTTGAGTTATTATTGGTGGCATTCCCTGCTTCATAGCTCACTTTTCATGTTCAAGAGGCTGCTAAAAATAATCCTTTTTAGAAGGGCTTTTGTGGTCCATAAATGTATCTAAAGGATAATATAGTACGTTGATGGTATTTGTTAGTAATACACTGATGTGAGCTTTTGTAAAATGAATTTTCATAGGACATTCTGTTTATAAGATTTAATAGTAATTATTTTTATAGTACTCTAGGGATATTCACTGAGAATCATGATATTAATAATCTATTTTAAATAGTTTAAAATATACTCCCTTATCATGGTACATTTATCTCCTGGAACAACAAATGGGAAGCAAAGCAGCATTTAGCTTTTGAATAAGGATTTAAGTTTAATTGACTTGCAATATGTAGAATGGATCCCAGGTTTGATTCATGAGGACTGTATAGCCTTTTATTTTTATTCTTCAAGACTGCCATCTTTAATATGCTCAAAGTATCATATCTCAAATGATACAACAGACACCCTTTTAGACCTTTTGATACAGAGGCTGGTCCCTCTGCTTCCTAGTAAATCTTCTCTATTTGGGCAAAGACTGGAAGGAAGGAAGTCTAGAAAAGAGCCTACACTCATTGATCTTGTTTCACCTTCTCAGTAAGTGACTGTTCCCTTCTTATTCTCTATTAATGATCAGATAAAGGCCCCAAAGGAGCTGCGGTGGCTCAGTGGTTAAGACGCTGAACTGCAGGCTGTGGAAGGTCAGTAGTTCAGCAGTTCGAGACCCGGGTGCCGCATGATGGAGTGAGCTCCCATCTCTAGTTCCAGCTCCTGCCAACCTAGCAGTTCGAAAGCAAGAAATTGCAAGTAGATAAATAGGTACCACTTCGGTGGGAAGGTAACAGCGTTCCATGCGCCTTGGTGTTTAGTCATGCCAGCCACATGACCACGGAAACGCCTTCGGACAGCGCTGGCTCTTTGGCTTTGAAACGGAGATGAGCACCGCAACCCTAGAGTCGGACTCGACTGGCTTTCGAGCAAGGGAACCTTTACCTTTACTTTTTAAAGGCCCCAAAGGACGAGACTACTAAGGCAGCTACAGGATTTCACTTTGAACCAATGGAGACAAATCTGATGAAATCATTTGTTTTGGTGAGCAAACCCAACTAATTAATACATTAAAAACTCTTCAGAGAACCTTAGGAGAGAAAAAAATATATATCTTTTTCTATAGTAGAAGTTAATTCCTCTGAATCAGCCCAATGTCCTTTTAGCCAGACATTAGCAGTGCAGGAGGCCCCTACCGAGTCATGTGGCTTTTTTTGGTGTTAAACAGAATTCTTCTTTTCCACTTGAATCTAAGATAATTGTTAAATTACCTAGTCCTGTAACTGGACAAACTGGATCTTGTAATGATTATTTCCAACAAATCCATGCCAGCCAATGACTGGGCAATGCATCATATGCACCGAAGGGCCAGTGTTTGAAATGGCTCTCCTGAAACATTGCTGGATAAAAATTTAAAAGCTCCTCCTCAGAAATTAAAACTATTGGCACAGAATGACTTTGTGTTTATTCAGGAGACCTGGGCCCTAGACAAAATCTTGTTCCTTGGGTTTCAGGCTTATTCACTTGGTGCTATTCAATCTGGTGGTAAGGAAAGACCCTCGGGGGATTTTCTTAGTTTGATATCACTGTCATTATGTTTTAAAAGCTTCCCACTTCCTAATTTCCCCTCCTTGGGCATCAGCAGTTCTTGTTCAGATAAGTTCCTAAACATTGGTCTTAATAAATAAGTCAAATAATAGTAATAGTCATCTGATACCCATCTATCAAGACCATAACAAATTGAGAGCAGAAAAATGGAGTTCTGGAAACTATACTTTGTGTAAAATCTTGCTCTTCTCAGATAAATGTTGTGCTCCTAAAGGAGAAATTACTCTAGGATCTTGTGTGCATGATAGCTGCTGTAAGCTATTTCAGCTGTCGTCCGCCCCCCCGCCCCCCCGCTTCTTCTGCAGTCTGTTTAAACCAGGCTGGTTTACAGGGACTGCAGAAAAGATTGGGGAAACCACCCTTAAAGTTAAAATTATACACCCCAACATTCAAGAGGGCTATCTTGGCTTAGTCAGAGAGGACTCTTGTGTTTCCCACTGGGATAAACTTATTGAGCAACGACTACAGCTCCTCAATCTTTCCTTGGAGTCGCTTTATTCAGTTACCAAACAGAAAGCCATAAGAATAATTAAGAAATGTCTATTTAAGTATGATTGTAACAGTACAATCCATAGAGGATGACGTCTTTGTTCTACTTAGTTTCTTGGTATTCTTCTGTCTTTAGAGCTTCCCAATTACTGCTCATACTTGACTGTTCCACACTATAGGTATATCTTTATGTTGGTGCACCTTAATGCCCTACCATCATGTTTTGCAAGGGAGGTATCTTAAGATACAATACTCTGAGTATGTGACTGTGGTGAAGATAGTGAGCAATATAGTGCTCAACCGTGATCTCGCTTTAGCATGACAGAAGCACCATTGAGAGGCCTGGACTCCACTGCGATGCTCAGAACTGATTCGCAGCCCCCGTCCCCTCCTCTTTGAATCTGTTATTCAACACACAAGCGTCCATCCTTCCAACACCCTCCTCCATGCCTTCTGAATATGAAATCAAGAGAAGCACTTTAGAAGCTCCACCAGCAATGCAATAGCAACAGCAAAACAAATTTTTATGAAGGACCCCACACGTTTGCAGTAAGAGCCGGGTAGTTTCCTCCTCCGGCTGCATGTAGGTTAGGGGAAAGAAAAGAGCAGGAGAAACCGAGCCCTTGATTCATCTCCCTTACCCTCTTGTCTTTTTCTTTGTGTGTGTGTGTGCCATTTCTAAACTGGCATTCGAGTTGCAGCCCCAGAAGAAGGGCGGGTGCCTGAACTTGGTGCTGCTAGCATTGCCTTAGCAAAAAAAAATAAGGGGGGGAATGCTCTTTGGGGTTTGCTGCCTGTAATTCTAGCTGAGTGAGATCTAGTGTTAAAAGTTGTGCAACTGCAGCCAGTTTGGCTGGGCTGTGCATGTAGCAAGGGGGGGGGGGTCCTCAAGGAAAAGAGGCAAAAAAGGCAGGACAAGCTGGGTGCATTTTCCAAGCGGCGGCCCGCTCTGCAAACACTCTCCCCATGCACTCTTTGCCTAATTTTCCAACAGAGCAAAGAAACAGCAACCAGCAGCTGGGAGGGCAAGTCAGCCATGGAGATGGAGCAGTGGAGACAGCCTATCCCTGCCACAATGGTGCTGGACAAGGAGGATGGTAGGTGTGGGGCAGTGCAGAGCGGAGGGTGGGCTGCCTCCCAAGAGAGGTCTCTTCCAACGCCTTATCCAAGCCCCAGAAAGTGGTCGGATTCCTGCAACTTGCCGCGCACGCAGCATTGCAGGAAGCACTGTGGGCATTTTACACAGCACACTACAGTGATTCAGAAGTGCAACGAAGGGTTTGAAAACAGTTTACGTTAACAAAAGCTCAGCTACGCTTTGCCAATGGGAGGCAAGCGGGTTTGTGTGAACATGGAAATAAATTCCACTAGCAGCCGGTTACTAAAATGAGTCAGTCTGAAGTGACATGGGGGGAAAGTTAGTATCCAGTTACTAAAACAGAATAGATAAGCAATGTGAAAAGGGCCCCTGTATCACGGGACCTTTGAATGCAATTACTTTTCTGAGCCTAGAAATCTTTTCTTTCTTTGCTCCAAAATATAGATCATATGGACACATTACTTCTTTCATTAGAAAATAATAGCAAACCTATCAATCTTTTTAGCTGTGATCTAGCCAAATGTGGTCTAGCCTTTTCTATATTTTAGTAAGAACGAATAAGTTAAGAAGCAGTATGAGGTAGGTAGACAGATAATTTATTATTCCTATTGATCTCAATTCCTGCTCTGATTTAATTGACCTTTTAGAAACCATAGTTAGCTCTGTGTTTTATTTTCCATGTATGACATGAATACTTGCAGAACTGTAATTGCAATAAGGAAGTTTCATCTTTGACAGCTCTCTTTATTAGAATGACAGAAAACTACATAAAAAGGAGAAATTAAAAAAAAGGAGAAAATACTAATTTTTATTTTTACACTAGGTTTGAGGTAACGTTTACTGAAATGTTAGGCTCAATTGTCTTGTTTAACACTTTCACATCCCTGCTTACAAAGAACACAGACACATTCACTTCAGTGCTGCAGTCAACTGAATTTTCTAACTAATTCCTTCTGGACCTTTTCATCAGATGTACAAGGTATTTCTTCCTAAGAATTTATTAGATGTGATTAAAGAGGGAGCTGCGTGGAGCAGAAGAGAAAGGGACAATGGTATTCATATGTGCAGAAAGTACAAGGAGGCAGAGTGGTGGCAATCCAGAGTTACGGCTTTCACCCTGCGGACCGGTAATGTTTACATGGATTGTCAGGGGTTGTTTCATAGAAAAAGAGCTAGGGGAACTCATTAGCATAACTCATTAGCATATGCCACACCCCCTGACATCACTGGAAGTGTGTCATAAGGCCACCCCCCCTGACATCACCGGAAGTGTGTCATAAGGCCACACACCCCGCCCCCAACGGTCCCAGCCGGCGGGAGTGCAAGGAAGCCCCGCGAAGGCCCTCCCTGGCCCCAGGCAGGCAGGGGTGGGGAGAGGCAGGGAGGAAGCAACTTACCCTCCCTCTTCTCCTGCCTCCTCCTGGCTGAATGAGGGCTGGAAGCGGGGCGGCCGGAAGCAGGGGGCGGGGCTTCGTCATGTGCCCCCCCCCGTACCTCACCTGGGGGAACTGCAATCCCCCCCAAAATGACCTCTGTCATTGTCATACCTTATGATTCAACATTGCCCACATAAGAGGGTCCAGTGTGCCATTTGCAACAAGATAATGGATATTCACAGAACTGCACTGCCCAATCCGATGTGCTCGGTCTTCTGCTTGTTTTATATGTCCAGGATCCCAATACAGCTCAGCAAAAACAACATGAGTGGCGGCAGTAAAAGTTAAACCCTGAATACAGCAACAAAAACAAAATATATTTCATTTTTCAAAATGTCATATGGTAAATTGCCATGGTATTGACATAGCTAAATGCTCAAGGACTGCTGCAGGTTTTGGAGATATACTAAGGCAGCTGATTTCAGCGTGGAACGTAGTGTCACTTTAAGAAAAAGGTATTTAAGGCAGATACGTCTCACCATAACAGAAGTGGCCAAAAGATTACAGGAAACTGTTAATTTGGGCTTCCTGCATAAGGGATGAATGCTTAGACGAGGAATAAGCTGGGAACAGAAAATCAAAGCAACAGCTTGCAAGCTCTTGATGTTGGCATCTACTTTGCTTTTTCTCTAAATATAGGTCTGAATGCTGAAAGCAACTACGAAGTGGAATGAGAATAGGAGAGAATTGCTTGCAGCAAGGACCTGGATGAATTTAAGTCATGTACTTCATATTTTAAACACACTGGGATCTGAAGCATCATGGAAAATTTCCTCCCAACCACCCCCTCCCTGAATACTAGAAAATCTTTGGGAACTGAGGCCAATTTCCCCACCCACAGTTCTTCCCTTCCTCACACCTTTAACTGCTCTCAAAAATCTGAACCTCCTGGAACGGAATGAGCATGCTCACCCCCCCCCCTTTAATTTATCAATCATCTGTATACCTATTTCTCAGGCCTGGCCCCCATCTGCAATCTACATCCACAGACTGGGGCCACACTTACACCAAACAGATTTTTCTGCAAACTTGGGGGACTCCCCCCCCCACCAGGTTGGCAGAAAAAACTGACATCTTAAATATATATATACCTGGGTAGAGGGTTAAATTCCCCCTAAAGTAAAGCACGGAGAACAGACCTACCTCCAACATGATGGTTGGCAATTGCAACAGACCCCAGGAGCTGTACTGGGTCCAGCAGTGGCTATGGTGGAGCCCAGGAGCCACAGCAGCTGCTTCCAAGCCAGAGCCTGGGAGACGGGGCATGTCCGGTGGCAGCGAAACCTGGGAGCTGCAGCAAGCCCAGTGATGGCTGCAAGAGAGCCATGCCGGACTCAGCAAAAAGCTGAGGGGAGAGGGAGATCGTATAAGCCCACCATGAGTCTCATGGGCCCCTCACTGAGCCAGGAAGGAGGGAATCGGGCGGTGTGTGTATGTATGAGTGAGTCCTCTCTGCCCCCTCCCCCAGAAGCTGGCAATGAAGGATATGGGCAGGGGGGTGCAGGATTCCTCACTGCCTCCTGCCAAGTTAGCACTGAGTCAGGAAAGAGGAACCGGGAAGGAGGGTGCAGGAGTCCTAACCGCCCCCTGCCACTGAGCCAGCAAACCACCACCCCCCGCCCACCCACTAAACTGGCAGTTAAGGGAATCACGAAGTGGGGGTACACAAGTCCTCACTGCCCCCAGCCAGCAAACAGGGTGGGGAGGGACAGCAGTCCTCACCTCTCTCCCTGAGCTGGGTAGAGGCAGCAGCTATGGTGAGGGGGATGTCTGGGAGCTGTGCCAGCCTGGCAGCAGCAGTGATAGGGGAAGGGATTCTCTCCCATGAGAAACCCACTTGCGTTTTCTAATAACAAAGTCAGCCGGATCTGAGGATACTTAAATCCAGTGATTGGAGCTGTGAACAGACAAGACAGATCTTTCTAGAAAGAAACCTTTCGGAAACCTGAAAGACACCCCTGGTTTGTAGAAAAATCTGAAATCTCACCCACCCTTCCCCCAAAAAAGTGGGGTTAAAAAAACCACAAAAAGATAAAGTGCTCCTAAAAAACAGATTCACTTAGTAGCTGCTGATAGGCAACCAAAGCATTCCAGTCTACGTTTCTGTAAATAAAAAATGGGGGGGAGGGGGGGCAAGGGCCTTTCCAGGCCTGTCTTGGCCTCCAAAAGAACACTTATCAGAGTCAGGCCTGACACAACCACTGGGTAAGTTGATACCACCTGACTTGCATGACTCACCTAGGCCTAGCTGCTTGCTACTGTTGTGAGCCAGCCCTGGACAGAAAAGATCTTACTGCTGTGGTGCGTGCACATCTAGATTACCGTCTGGAAGCTACAGTTGATAAAGAATGCTGTGGTCAGAGTGCTGACTGGAGTGGGTTGTAGGGACCATATCCCGTCTTGTATAACTAATTCTCAATGCAGTCAAATCTGTGGGTACTTAAACACAGAAGACAGATCTTTCTACAAACCCGAGAAAAGTTCCAGGGTTGCAGTAAAATTTGAAATCTATACCCAAAATAACAGAAGCACAGCCTGTAGCCTTAAGAAACAAATGCCCTCAGTGGCTGTTGCTAGGCAATCACAATAGTATTGCAAGTTTAAGCTTTGCTTTCTGTTACTAAAAAGTATGGGGAAGGGCCTTTTCCAGGGTTGTTTTGGCCTTTGAGGAAGGACTCATCAGGGCCAGGCCAACAAACAACCATAAGGCAATTTGATGCCATACAAGTTCCATGGATATGGGGGCTGGTGGGAGGAAGGAAAGAGAACACAGTATGATGAGAGAGATACAGAAGAAACAGAGGAAACTGAGGTGCTTCTCAAAAGTCCTTGTGGGTTCCCCACACAACGCAATTGGCCCTGGCCCAGTGGCCAACACTGCGCAACTCTTGGAGCCTTCTTTATCTATGGAGGCTCAGGTTGCAAAGGTTGCCAGCCAGGCGTTTTTCCAACTCTGCCAGGTTAGGCAGCTGGCTCCCTACCTGTCTCGCCCTGACCTAGCCACGGTAATCCATGCAACAGTCACCGCAAGGTTAGACTATTGTAATTCGCTCTACGTGGGCCTGCCCTTGCGCCTGACCTGGAAGCTCTAACTGGTTCAAAATGCAGCCTCGCGGGTCCTTAGTGAGACCCCTCAGATGGCACATATTCAACCAGTGCTGTGCAAGCTGCATTGGCTTCCAGTGGAGCACCAGATCAGATTCAAGGTTCTGGTTTTGACCTTTAAGGCCCTTAGCAGTCAGGGACCTATATGCCCCTGGAAGAGTGTTACGCGAGGCCAGGTTCTTCTCCACCAAAGTTAACAGTATCACTGCTTCCTTGTGCAGAGACAACAATCTGGACCCCCCCTGGTTGTTTATGTAAGCTTTGGCAGAGACATTGTCTGTCCGAACCAGAATGTGTTGATCTCTCACCTTGTTGCTGTAGTGGAGTAGAGCCAACCGAATTGCTCTCAGTTCCAATATATTGATGGGAAGATGAGATTCTCTCTGGGACCAATGTGTCTGTGTGGGCTCCTCATTCAGGGTTGCCCCCCAACCTTGTAGACTTGCATCTGTGAACATTTGAAGTTTCTTGTTGAAATAAAACTTCTTTCCCTGATGGAGGTTGGATTTCCTTCTCAATCACTTTAGGCCCTCTTGCACTCGAAGAGGTACTTGGACCGAGGTGTCTCGTTTCTCCATCATCTGGATTTGGTATGGTCTGAGAAGAAACTGCAGCGGTCTTGTATGAAATTGTCCCCACTACACCGCCTCTATGTTGGAGATCAGGATGCCCATCACCTTGGCCAAGGTAAGTAAGGATGAAGAGGTGCTGATGATGATTATTTTCACCATTCACTTGGTTTTCTGTATCTTGTCTTCTGTGAGGAAAAGGCAGGTGCATCTGGTGTCGATCAGCATCCCAAGATGTTCCAGCTCCTGTGACAGGGAAAGTGAACTTTTGGCTAGGTTGATAAGGAAGCTGTGAGATTGGAGGCAATGAATGGTCTCTTGGATGTCTAGAAGTGCTTTCGTTTTGGAACTGGAACGGATTAAAAGATTGTCCAGATACGGATGTACGCCCTTCTTTCTCATGTGGGCTACTGAATTGACTAGCACCTTGGTGAACACCCTTGGAGTGGTTGCCAAACCGAAGGGCAGGACTCTGAATTGCAGATGAGAGTTTCCTACACAAAACCTCAGAAAGCGCCTGTGTAGTGGCAGAATCAGGACATGTAGATAAGCTTCGGTGAGATCCAGAGAGGCAAGGTATTCTCCTGGTTGTAGAAGGTCTCCGTATAAAAGTGTCTTAGTTTGATGAACTTGTTCAAGAATTTCAGGTCTAAAATGGTCCTCCAGTCCCCATTCTTCTTGGGGACCGTGAAAAATATGTAGTAAACCCCCTGTCCCTTCTGTTCTGGTGGTATGGGTTCTACTGCCAGAATGTCTATCAAATGTTGAATTGCCATGTATGTTATAGCCCTTCTCTTGTGATCCTTGTGTAAGGGGGAAATGAGGAAGTGATCCGGTGGGGTTTTCATGAATTCTATAGAATATCCTTTTGAGACTATTTCTAATGTTCAAGAATCTGCTTGGGAATTTATCCATGCTGCCTGAAAGCGAAGCAGTCAACCCTCCACCAGAATCTCCCCCGAGTCATGGTTTAGTGGCCTTGTTGTCCCGGTCCTGTTTGTCATTTCAGTTGGAGGACTGTTATCCAAAACTGGATCCAGTGAAGTTCTTCCTGTAGGTTTATTTGGAGTATCCCCAGGAAGATCTCTTCTGGTCCTGTTTGGATCTAAACATCGAGCTTGAGGAACAAAAGGACTGAGTACCAGATCCTCTTTTATCGGGACGATGCAAATTCTTAGGCATTACTTTCTTTTTGTCTCTTGTCTCTACCAGTATTCTATCCAGATTCTCCCAAATAACTTCTCCCCTTGGAAAGGGTAGGCTAGTACAAAGGATTTTGACTGTAGTTCTGCTGGCCAGGCGTGCAACCAGATTCCTCTCCTTGCAACAACTGCTGAGGACATGGCTTATAAGGAAAAGGTAAGAGCATGCAGGATGCGTCAGTCGTGAATGCTGATGCTTTCATAATTCTAGTCGTGCCCTCTAAGAGTCTCATGTTGTTTTCTGGAAGCAATTGAACCAGTTTTCGTGTCCAGACAATGATGGCTCTGGTTACTATTGAAGCTGTAGCCAAAACTTTAATTGCCATTGCAGTGGCTTCATGAGCTCTCCTAAGCGCCGTGTCTATTTTATAATCCAGATTGTCACGTACTGAGTCCTGACCGTGCTCAGATAGTAGACTATATGCTCGAAGTGTGGCCACAGGAGCATCCACCTGCAACATCTCATTGGCAAAGGATGGTAAGTCATACAGGTTTTTTTACGAAGCTAGGGAACTACCTGTCAGAAGTTGGTTTCACCCATTCTCTCTTTAGTTGTCTTACAAAAAACCCTCTCAGAGATTGCATATCTGGGGGGGGGGAATCCTCAGTTCCCTTGGACCTATTTCTGGGGTTCGTGCCTGGGCTAATCATCTCCTCCCCTTTTGGAACGTCATGGAGTTCCAGGGCTGACAGAGTTTTAGCAAGTATATACTGGTAGTCTTCTGCCTTGAAAAAACGTGCAGACTGTTGTGGAACACTAATATCCTCCACTTCTTCGTCAGAAAGGAACTCCCCCTCCTCCTTGTTCCCTATATCAGGCTCAGGGGACTGCTCTCTCTCTGAGTCCGAATGCCTGTCTCTGGAGGTTGCTTTCTGGCTGCTTTAGTTGGCCATCTTCCCTCCCTATCCCTAGACCTGGATTGTCCTATTGGGTCTGGTATAGCAGAGGTTGAGCGAGGGTTAAGGGGACCCATGTCCCCTAGGCAGCATAAATTAACAAATTCTTCCCTCATTGCAAGCCTGATGGACTTCATGAAATTCTGTGGGAGGAGGTCACTACCTGCCCAGCAGAGGTACATTACCCATGACCTGGAGACACGTGGTGCCGTCCGTTGTTGAATGTTCCAAGAGGGGCAATCCTCTGCTGAAGTCTCCTACTGGGAGATTGGTAATAGGCTCCCGGCAATCGATCCAGGGGTCGCAGGTGCGCCCGGGAGCGTTTCCCGCCATAAAATGGGAGCCAAGATGGCTGCCGCTACCAGCCAACAGGCAGGAGCAGGGCACAGCAATGGTGTCTCTGGAGCAATGGGGCTTCTTCCCACGATGTTCCCCACTGTCACAAGCAGCTGAGGCAAGCTGATAGGTCATGCCGGCTCTGGATTCCTCTTCCTGTGGCTCCAGGTTGTCGGCTTCGGTCTCCCCCTTGGAGAGAAAGCTGTCTGGATGTCTTCTAGGCATGCTGGCAATTGCATGCTCCGTAGCTATTTCCCATGGCCAATTAACAGCCACCGCGAAACTCCCTCTCAGAGTGCAAGGAAGTGGGGGGGGGGGTGAGAGAAGAAAGGCTGAAAAGGGGGTTGTAAAAGGCAAGGACCTAGGCAAAAAGAAACAAAGAAACAGGAATAGGAGGAAGAAATAAAAAAGTAGGAAAGAATATAGAACAGGGTAGACAAAAACTCAGTAAAGTTTGGAGGCAAAGCCTACAAAGATCCTCTCCCTATGGGGAGGAATAGAACTGGGAAGGGGGTGTTCCTCCACCACACAGGAAGAGGAAGAAAATTAGTTCCTGCCTCTCCCTGATAGGATGGTGGAATCACCCAAGATGTCCTCTGCTTCAGAGGGAGAAAGATTAGGTTAGAGTGAGAGAATGACTGACCCAAGGACACTCAGCAAATTTCATGGCACTACAGGGGTTTAAACCAGGATCTCCCCATTCCAATCCAACACACTAATCAATACACTACATGGTCAGCTGGTTTATTATTAGATGAAACGATGGTATATAGTGGCACACAGAGTGGCATACACTGTGGACCTGCTCAAGCATTCATTTAAGGTTTTGAACTATCTATATGGACTAAAACTGCATCAACAACACTATGATTGGAATCCGTTTCTGCTCCTACCTAAGGCAATAAGAGATGCTGTCTAACAGCCATTTTCCTAAAAAACACTGACCTATTCCATCAGTTTCTCCATAAGCATGATCTTGCAAACCTTCGCCATAATGACAAGGGGTGCTACTATCTTCCAGTATGCTGCCCCAGTCAGTGTTAACTGTAGTTTAGTAAAACTACTGTGTATCTTTAAGAGAAGTTGCAGCTTGGAATTGTAGTTCTCAGTTAGGGGTCCCAGAAGCTTCCCTCTGACTGGCTCATTAGGAGTAATTTCCTGAGCTCAGAGGCGTGAAGATAGGAATTTTATTGTTTTTTTCTGTTTCTTTGTTTATTCCTTACCGCAAGGAGAAGGGGAAACTCATCTCTTTCTCACCAGGGCGATTGAATTGACCTGAGTCACAAAGATGTAACTTTCCACTCAGCCATCTACAACAGATCATGAGTAATGATCTGTTGAATGCATGTGAAGTTTAAATAAAGGTGATTTTCTCTTCAGTGGCTGTGTGTTTCCTCACACCTAGAAAAGTGCTAAGCTTGGCCAAAAGCTAGCACCTGACACGACATCCACCTTTGTGCAACAGTTAATTCAGCTTCTGGAAGCAGTTTTACCTGTGTGGTTTTTTTTAATTATGAAATGGCCCAAGACATTGCCAAGTCACATAACTGAATTTTACCCTTCAGTATGTCCCACAAAGTAAAAATACGGCAGCTATAGAGATAAAAATGCATTTACATTCCACAAGCACTGACTTCCCTAGAAAATCATCTGTCAGACTTCAGGCCCAACACATTTTAAGTTCTCACCTGACCAGCAGCCTGAATGCTCAAAATGGCCACCCTAGTATCTGGGTCCTTCTGGAACTGATTGACAAGGTTTATTCTTTCTGCTGAAGGTACACTTCCATCTATTCGAATGTAGCGTGCCTGCATCACAGGAAATATACAGAACAATTATGACATCCTACTACGTCTTGATGGAGATAAACCCATGGCCTTTCAGCAAAAATGGCACCAAGATTGCAATGTAATGCTCTCTGATCTGCAATGGGGAAATGTTTGGAAATCATCTCTGTTGACCTCTCCTGTCAACACCACAACATTGTTATCATATAAAATAGTAACCAGATGGTATCTCACCCCAGAAAAAAATAACCCAAAGAACTTCTGATCATTCCCCCTTGTGCTGGAAAAAGTGCGGAGAGATAGGTTCCTTCCCTCATTGCTGGTGGCGATACAAATACATTTATAACTTCTGGCAAGAGATTCTTAATTTCATAAACCTTATAACAGGCTATGACATCCCTTTCTCTCCACAGTTAATCTTTTTAGATAACTGGCAGAACATAAATATCCCGAGGATCAGATGAGATCTTATACGCAGCCTCTTAGTTGCTGCAAAGACCCTAATTGCATCAACCTGGAAATCTCCTAATCTTCCAACTTCCAAAAATTGGTTTAATAAAATCTGGGACCATTACATTATGGAGAAGATTACTGACCGATTGCAGCAATCTGAAATCTATCCCATCATCTAATTTCAGTGAGAAATGGCTTCCATTCTTGGACTATGTCCTAACAAACGAATGCCAACCGCATAACCAAGTATATCTCACTCTCTTGCACACATAATACTTGCGCCACTCTCCTGACACCTAGTACTATTATGAATTTAAATCTTTAATGATTAATCATTAATTTTTGCAGTATCTATTAGACTTCATATTTAAAACTCACCAACACACTTTAAGCTGTTGTCACTTAGAATTTAGTTCATGACCCGTTTAGTAGTATTTGTTAATGTTTGTACAGATACATACATGATTACTAAAAGAGAAAAAGCTCTGTCAATATGAATCGTAAAAGATGTGCACCTATCCTTTGATATATATTCTCATGAAAAAAGAAATATACAGAACAATTACCAGCACTACATTAAGAGAAATCATTGACTTTAGACAAGAAAAAGCTTCCTGGAAAACGGCAAGTGTTAGTGCTATTCCTAACTTTTCCATCCTACATATTCATCCTTGTCCAAATCCATCCCAGTAGAGCACTTAGCCTACTGTAAAACTGGGAATAGGTTTCTGGCTCCTTCACCAAAGGCAGATGTCACTGAACCACTAAGATTTGTGTTCAAATAAAATATTAAGTGCCCTTCTCAAGTTGTTATGGGTTCCCCAATGTACAACTGGACCTGACCAATGGGTCAGCAGCACACACGGGGCCATAGTTTTCCCAGATAAGGGCTGCAAGGGTAGGGAAGGAAGGAAAGCTGAAACCAAGGGGGCAGATAAAGGTGGATGGCTGGTGGGTGGAAAGGAGAGAAAGGAGAGAAAGGAGGAGGAAAAGGAGAGAAGGTATGGGGGGGCTGCCAGAGGGAGGGAAAGGGGAAATAGAAGAGGGAAAGAGGAAATAGTAGGGAAGAGGAAAATGAGATCCCCCCTGCAAGGGCCCCCCATTTCTATCCATAATAGCCCCACCCATCTGTGAAGGCTAGGATCTTACATGACATTTAACCAGAGGTAGCATGATGCAAAGCTTGATCAGAGCGGTCTCTACCTGAGGGAATCAACCAGCCCCGTAGCCAGGATTTATTTTGTGGGGGGGGGCCCTCTGCGGGTGCTAATTAAGTTGAATTAATTAATACACCTGGGACACGTGTCTCCCCGTCTCTCCCCCCCCCCCCCCCCCCGCAGCCCCACACACACAGTAGCAGTTCCAGCGGCCTCAGCAGAACCACCCTGGCCATAGCCCCTCCCGTCTGTCCGCCCAGCCCAGAGAGCCAGTTTGGTGTAGTGGTTAAGTGCGCAGACTCTAATCTGAGAGAAATGTGTTTGATTCCCCACTCCTCCACTTGCACCTGCTGGATGACCTTGGGCAAGCCATCGTTCTGGCACAGCTGTTCTTGAAAAAGAGCAGTTTCTGTCAAGAGCTCTCTCAGCCCCTACCTCACAGGATGGCTGTTGTGGGGAGGGGAAGGGGAAGCAGTTTGTAAACCGCTCTGAGACTCCTTTGGGTAGTGAAGGATGGGGTATAAATCCAATCTCTTCTCTCTTCTTCTTCTTCAGGGGCATGTGAGGCCTGCTCCAGCCTGCCTTGCCTGCTATCTGCTTTCCTTGGACAGCACACTATTAGCCACAAGATATAGATAGGGACTCTGGGGCAAGTGATGCTCTGTCTTCTTGGTGCTTGGGGGGGGGCCAACAGTGGGAGGGCTTCTAATGTCCTGGCCCCACTGGTGGACCTCCTGATGGCACCTGATATTTTTGGCCACTGTGTGACAGAGTGTTGGACTGGATGGGCCTTTGGCCTGATCCAACATTGGCGTCTCTTAAGTTCTTACGTTCACTTTGCTCTCTCTCTCGCCTCCCCCTATGGCTGCTCAATGAGCTCAAGGAAAGAAGGAGGCTTACTGGAATCGCCTTGGGCCAGCCCCACAAGGCCAGGGACTTCTGGGGGGGGGGGAGGGGGGAAGGCATCATGGCATGCTAGTGCTGGTGCCCCAGCTCCCTTCCCCCGTGCCAATGGAAGGAAGGGCTTTGAGCCAGTGTGGCAGAGGCCTGAGGCAGCACGGTTTAAGTAGCCCCACAAGGCCAGGTACTTCTCTGGGAGGGAGGCAGCAGTGGGGTGGGGGGCTTTAGGGTGCCTGGTGGGGCTTTTGGGGTACACACCTGATGGGGCTTTGGGGTATGTGATACAGGGCTCAGCCCCAAAAGCTATGGCCCTGGAATTAACTCAAGTGGCTTCTGAATGTAGTAAGTTCAGGATCCATGAAGGAAACAGAAAAAGAATGTTAACTTTTATTCACTCCCAGGGATGGGGGGACTAAGTTGGTTCAGAAGGACAGAAACTATTTACATGTGTAACATAGTCTTTCTGGGCCCATTCATCTGTGAGATTAAAGTTGACAATTTAGGAGTGTAGAGAGCAGTTAGCAACCAAGTTTGTATCCTTGAAGTGAATACTGGCCTTCCCTCAACCACAGAATTCCAACACTAAAATTGTGAGCTCTTCTCAGAAATCACAAATTGTTCACTAGACTTCCTCAGAAACTGGGGTTTCAAGACAGCTACCATCTCTTCCTCCACCAATCCTGCTTTATCACAAAAAACAGTTTAAGATACTTCCAAAATCTCCTGAGACAGGGTCTCTCCCAACTAACACTTTGGAAACACAAACCCTATCTGACTGAATGGAGAGAGTCTCCTCTTCCCCCTTTCACTCCGCCCCCTCCCCAATCTGGCTCCTCCAGCCCTTCCGAAGATACTGACTGGCTGCTACCTGCATACCAAACAGGACTACAGGGAACTGATGTTTCTCAGAAAGGGGCAGGACCTTTGCCCATCTGTCACATAATCCATAGCACCTCATTTTAACCACACAAATTTTACAGAGCTTCTATTACTATGTCCAGCCTCCACAAACCTCTCTCCCCATTCCTTTTCTGGGTTTATATATCAACATCCCCAGGTGCGTACAATTATTCCAGGCACAACACATCACAGAGACATGCTGCTACTGTGCTCTACAAATGTGTTATAACCTGTTCCATCTTTCTATCCCAGAGAGACAAATGAATCAAATTACTTTATGGGGAAAGATACTACTCACTAGGCCCATCTAGCCTTGGTCTGTGCTGACTGGCAACAACCTTCTAGGAGAGAGGTCTTTCTAACGGCTGTGCACCGACAGATCTGGATATTCTCTTCAATGACTCTGGACTCGCATAGTTTTATAGCATTTATTTCATTCACTTTGTGAAACAAACATCAGGTATTATATCCCATATTCCTATATCTTAAAATGCGTTTATGTTATTTTCTCTTTGAGACATAAATGTTGTCATCTTGTCCATGAATTGAAACTGTTATGTATACAGGCCATCCACCCCCACCCAGCCAACCCAAGTAGCCTTCGGTATTGTGTGTCTTGAACAACAACTCTCTGCAACACATGGCACAAAACAATTTATGATACACACTCAAGCCTTTGGTATGCCTAAAATAGCTGTTTGGCTTCTGGCCAGAATACCAGCACAACGGCCAAGACTCTACAGACACAAATTTGAGAAGGGATTTTCAACAAGTACAGTGTAAAAATCCTTAAAAGGGAATCTAATAAAATAAGGTGAACTTACCTTGCTTTCTATCACTGCCTCTGTACATGCCTGGAGCATGCTTAAGTGATGTGCAAAAACTAGAAATTTGAGTTTGTCATTTTCAAGAAGCATTTTGATATAGTCCTTTACTGCTCCTGCCTGAAAGATAAGCAGTTGTTGGAGTTTTGTTTCAACAACAAAAGGATGAGATTAAAAGGATAAACCAATGCAATTCATATTTTGCTATACAAAATAAAAAGCTTTCCTACCACCCCCCGAGATGCTGCTGTTATCTAAAGCACATTGTCTTATTAGCTCATTGACTGCACAAGATTCTTTTATATAGTAGACACTATTTTTATTTATTTATTTATTTATTTTTGAGATTTCTATGCCGCCCTACCCAATGGCTCAGGGCGACTAACAACAAGTTTAAAAATTAAGTGCAATAAAACACTATTACACATATAGTAAAATCTGGTGCTACAAAAGCCTACATAGAAATACACAAAACACAGCAACCCACATTTAACAGCTAGTATTCTTAAAAGCGAGAGCGCCAGGAGCAGTATTTCACAGCACAGTCGGGCAACGTCTGCTCCCCAAGATGCGATAGATGGATAATATCGTCGCGGTGGTGGTATAGCGACGGCGGCGGCTCCTACCCAAAGGCCTGGTGGAAGAGCTCCGTCTTGCAGGCCCTGCGGAATTGCATGAGGTCCTGCAGGGCCCGGATCTCCTCCGGGAGCTCATTCCACCAGGCAGTAGCCGCCACCGAAAACGCCCTAGATCTAGTGTGGGCCTATTTGGGCAACAACTCCTTTATAGTCACCAGGCTTTGTGACCAGAATACCTGAAGCTATGACTTGGAGCTGAAGAGATTAAAGAGCTGTGAGGAAAGCCTTGAGCTTCTGCAGCCGTCCTTCCTTAGGGGCATTCTTGTTAGGTTTCTGCCAGAACCCTCTTTTCAGCGTAGAGTCACTGAACATTCTGACACCTTAGAAAGGAATGGCTGATAGATTCGGACCTGCTGTGTATATTCCAGTGTTCGAATCACAAGCTGTAATCGACCTCCACATCAGAAGCCATGGCTCTGACTGCAAAGTGCCTATCAATACTATATCATAAAAGCAACAGACGTAGAAATAGGAGAGACTTTTGAAGTGTCAAACTGATCCCCATGCAACAATTCTCCTGCTCACATTACGAGGAGAGATTGCCTTGGGGAAAACTGAGTTGCTTCTCCCCACTCAGAAGATGCCCGATCAGGTTCAGTTTGCTCAGTCAACAGAGGCAGCCTTGGCCAGAAGGGATAAGGAATCTTCCTCATGGAACACCTTACAGAAAGAATGGCCCAAGGAGATCATTTCATCCCTGGACCACAGCTTCCTTTCAGTGTGATTCCACAACATCAGGCACAGCGTCAGATAAACCTGTGGGCTCCTCCTCTGAGGTGCTCACTCTCTTTCAGAAGGGGCGTGTTCCCCTGGGCTACAGAGGGTGGGACACTCCCAGACAGAAGTGTCTTTGGAGGACCTGCCTCTGTACATTCTGGAGTACCTTCTTTGCAGTCTATATTTTTGAGAGAAATGAGAAAACGAGAACAGGAATATTTCCTGATATGCTTGACCTTTTACCCCCCCCCCCCCATTATGAAAGACTTGGCTTAGGTTATGAACAAAACCCTCAAAGAAAATGCAAGTGAAACAGCAGGAAGTATGGCACCCTTGCTCTATGTGCAGCAGATCCTTACAAGAGGCAACCCAAAATGCAGCTCTATAAGGGCAGGAGGGGTTCAGTGAGCCATGTATTAAAGCTGGCAGGATGTAGTGGTTCGCTTGTCATACCAGGATCTGGGAGACCCGGATTCGAGTTCCCCACTCTGCCATGGAAGCTTGCTGGCTGAATCTGAGTCAGTAGCCTAGCCCACCTCACAGGGTTGATAGGAGGATAAAATGGAGGAGAGGAGAACAATGTAAGCCACTTCCCTGTTCCCCACTGGGGAGAAAGCGGAGGTATAAATGAAGTAAATACATAAGAAAGGGAGGAGATTCACTGTGTCTGGTTCCCAGTGACGAAGCTGATGCTGGCTCCTGAGCCACTGCCCGAGCGTTAGAAAGAGGCACTGAGGTGGTACTCTCAGCTTGTGGCACTGTCTGCCAATCTGGAAACTTCAGAGAGGTCCTCAGGAGGGCACTCCGAAACAGCCACCCCATTTGCCAGGGTTCCTATTGCTATATGACTGGGTTGGTTGTGATGCTGGGCCACGGGGACACAAGCCCTTTGGGATCCAGCTGCCATTCCTCCTCTAGAACTTTCTTGCCACTTAGATTCAGTTTTGTTGAAGCTGCTAACAGAAGAGGAGATTGGATTTATGCCCCGCCCTTCACTTGGAGTCTCAGAGCGGCTTACAAACTCCTTTCCCTTCCCCGCCCCACAACAGACACCCTGTGAGGTAGGTGGGGCTGAGAGAGCTCTGACAGAAACTGCTCTTTTCAAGAACACCTCCGACAGAACTATGGCTTGCCCAAGGTCATCCAGCAGGTGCAAGTGGAGGAGTGGGGATTCAAACCCGGTTCTCCCAGATTAGAGGCCGCGCACTTCACCACCACACCAAACTGGTTCTCCCTGATTAGAGGCCGCGCACTTCACCACCACACCAACTGTGTGCTTTATATACATAGTTTCTGCTCATCTCCTAGCTTGCCAGAGAAATAGGGAAGGAAGAATGAGGGAGGCCGTAGAGAGGAACTGCTTTTTTGAAGGGAGGGATGAGAAGAGTAAGAAAAGAGCCAAAGAAATCAGAACAGCAGAATAACTCAATCACAGGACAGAATTAGCGCAGGAGCTCTAGTTTGCCCTTATTCAGCGGGCCTAGGCAAGACAGAAAGTGGAAAGTTTTTTTTTCCAACAGCAGAGATATCAGGTATGCCTACTGCAATGGCCTTGCCTGCTCAAAGTGCGTACAAGAGGACATCTTCCACCACCAGTACAGAAGATGCCATGACAGATCATTAAAGCATGAATACAATCTTCTTAGAAAAGACTTTTAGGAGACTAAAGCAGAGTATAGTCTAGTCAAGTAAAAATATAATTTTCATTCTGAAGTTATAGTTTTACTTTAGTATAGCAGGTTGTGTTACTGCTCACAAACCCACAGAAATTCTAAACACGGCACTCAGAATCCAACTAGTTCATCACTTACTAAAATTGGGGATGATACAATGACAGAACAATTGTTTTACATTAGGCAGTTAGAATTCTCAGGAAACACAGAAAGACACTGGGACAACTCTATGCTAGCAAATGTATTATTATAATAATGAGAAAAAACACAGTTTAAATAAATGTCAACAACTACAAGAAGTTTTAAGATTACCTTGGCAATAGCAGTCTCTTTAAACATGCGTGTAATGAGACCCATCACCCGGACAAAGTCATTATCTGTAGAATCTGAATCTGCAGTCCTCATTAATTTCTCCCACTCTTCAAAACTAGCATTTAATTCCTGCATGTGAGCGAACAACAATGTTTAGAGACAAAAATGTGAAAGGCCAAAACAATTACCGTTTCTCTGAATCATACCCTACTTTTGTTGCTGAGAAAACAATAGTCCCTGAAGATGCCAGCTCCTTCAAAGAAGAATATCACTACAGAGGTAGGTCAGTCACATGTTCTTACCTAATATAGAATCTAAATCAAGCTGAGAAGATAAAGCACGACTTATTCTGCTTGGATCATAAATCAGTGGCTAAAAGTTTCCTCTCTTGAGGCCCAAAGAGAAATCAAAACTGCTTAAATGTCAGGTCCCAAGGCAATCCACTCTCAGACCACAATTCATTGAAGAGAATTTTATTGGAAAGAGATTTGGAAGTTGCAAGGATGAGATCCTTGCTAAGACTAAGGCACAGAGTGAAAGTATCTCAAGGTATAGTCAAACCCCACATTCCAGTCAATCAACATTCACACACCCCTTTGCTGGTTATTCTAACCGCAGCCCTAACAAATACATCAATTCAGCTAGCCATGTGAAAATGTTATGTTCAAGGACATCCTGCTGTGAGAGCCGTTCCCTGAGGCGCACTTGTTATGGGAAAAGAAGTTACAAAGCAAGCAGCTAGCCTACTCCCCCATTCACACCTCCATGCATTCACACCTTCCCCCTCCCCGCAGGAATGACATGGCAGTGAGGGCATCGATAAGCGGAGGAACAGAAACCAGATGGAGGCCATAAAACAATACATTGATCAGGAAAGCCATAAACCAGCCCGAGTCTTGACATTAAGAAATCAAAACTACAATGAAAGCATGAGTCAATGGTATAATCAATTATAAATGCAGTGATCAAATAGCATATTATTGTGTATATTAATTGCTTAGACCTCAAATTCGGCCCTTTCTTCAAAGAGCTCACGGTAGAATATATACAATCCCCTCCTCTTATCACAACCATCCCATTAGGTAGGCTAGGCTGCAAGACAATGACTATGCCTAGATCATTTAAGTAAGTTTTATGACTGTGTGAGGATTTGAACTTTAACAGATCTGACTCCTATGCCATGTCACAAAGTACTTTGGAAAAGCTTTAGTGTTTTCAAAAGGGGCTTGGAGTGTATGGCTCCCCCCCCCTAAAAATCAGCCTGATAGGTATGTCTCATGAGTTGGTTTATTATCTCAATTGTGGCCACAGTTATTAAACCTTCATGTTCAGCAGTCATTCTAGAATGCATCTTGATATGTTTTTCTTTATTCTTATGAGAGCTCAACAAGAAGCTCCGCAGACATATTTATTTAGAAAACCTACATGCCACCTTTCTGATGGCTGTTTGAAGCAGTTCTCAAAGTAAAAACAAACATGGTGCTATTAGAACTGTGATATTCAACTCCAAATTCCAACATAAAACTTTGTATTTTTATGGATTTAGAACATGTACAGGCTGTCATTCCAGACAGCAGCCCCAGGTGGCTCAAAATAAAATACAAAAATCAATTTAAAACACCCCCAAAACAGAACAGCCAAGAACAGACGGATGTTTCTACAAACCAGAGAAACACTCCAGGGTTACAGGAAAAACCTGAAATGTAAAAACAAAACAAAACTGAAATTTAAAAAAAAACCACACTGGGAGGAGGTTAAAACTCTCCAAAGTAAGATTCTTAGGTAGAGGCTGCCATGGGGAAGGGAAGGAAGGAAAACTGAAGACAGGGGGGAGAAAAAGATAGGTTGGCTGGGGGTGAGAAGGAGAAGGAAACAGGAAAAGGGGAGAAGGAATGGGGCCTCTCAGGGAAGTTAAAAGTCGAAATAGCAGGGGAGGGGATATAGGAGAAAATGAGATCCCCCCCCCCAGTGATTCCTTGAGCGTTCCATGCTTGTACAGTGTAAAAGCCAGCAGTATGACCCTGAGCCAAACTAGACATTCTTGCTGGTTGCTTTTTAAAGTGCATGCTGCAAGATCTGATCACGGGCCACAAATAGCACATACAGGTTTGCCCTAAGCATAATCCCATCCTTCTGTTTTGTAGAGAACCTCAATGTTTTCAATCATTCATACTTGAGTTTCTGTTTCATATATTCATGACAGGAGTAACACTGAACAGAATGACAGCACAGACACAGACCAGACATATAGCGGTTATCAGTATGTATGTATACACACACACTCATTCTATCAACAATAATAAATCTATAATTTAATAGATATTGGCTTACTTGGAGCCAAAGCTACAATGTCAACAGCACGTTACCTTAGCGGCAGTTTGGGGAAGATCAAAAGGGATGCGCTGCCTAATCTTAGGTGGTAACTGAGTTAAAACTTCCTTTTTCAGTCGCCTGATCATTATATTGCTTAGTAAACGGTGCAGTTCATCTAAATTTGAAGCTCCTCTGCAATCCCATTGCTGTCTTCTACCAAAGAACCTCGAGAAAAATTGAAAGATGATGTTAAAAATATTATGATTAGGTTATATCAGTATAAATGAACATGTAATTTTTATCTAACAAAGAGGATGCACATGATTATACTGATCAACAGTCCAAGCATCTTTTTGTAAAGGCAACTTTTATAAAGAAACATTTCGGTGGTGTGGTCAAAAGTTAACATTACTGATTATCTAAACTTTAGGTAAGAAATTGGGGTTGTGCTGTGGAAATGAGCACTAAAAAGTCGATATTCATGGGTTTAAAACTAATTGTCCAAGTCCAAGCCCAGCACTGTCCTTAGACTCACCTCCATCATCAGTGGAAACCATCCTGGCACTCAATTGCTGCTCCCCCCCCCCAAGGACCTAGTCAAGAGACTACCATTTAGTTTGCTGATACAGAGAGAAGACCTGATGCTCCTGCTACCAGTGGGATTAGTGAAGCAACAGCTGGGCACCTGAATGCTGTGATGCAACACACAGCTAGGGATGAAGGCCAATGGCTGTCTGGCAGGGTGGGCAGCCATGGGTGATCCTGACATCCCATTAGGGCAGAGTTCCTCACAGGAAGTCAGGCCAAGGAGAAAGAGGTGTGGAGGGTGCCATGGAGAGAAAAAGAAATAAGGTGGATGCAACCTTCTCTGCTCTCTACTCTGAGGTCCAGCAAGCCCCTTCTAGGGAGATGGAATGCATGCAATGCTCCTGTACCCAGTCTGAGTGGAACCAGGCCGTGCCTCAAACAAGTCACTGGGGGCATATGTGTGTGCAAGTGGAAACGAAATAAAGTACCTGACACGTGCATTACAGTACTTTTTTGCATATTCCGTCCATGTTCCAAATTTTCTTGGACAAAGTGCTTCAAGCTGCATAAAGAGCTGTAAGTAAAACAGTTTAAAAGCACTTTATAAAGATGCTTTCCTGAAATATGCAGCTAGGACTATTCTGACAACAGTGGTGAGTATCAAGGACATTTGATGAATGGGGCTTCAAACATCACTCACAGAACTCCCCCGGACACACTTCAGCCAGTCTAGGAACAGTTTTTAAACATTTTATACATATTGTAGTAGTTTTTAAAGAAATCTTCAGTAAACAGGCAGTTGTGTTACTGTGTTAATGCTTTAAAAAAAAACAACAGTGCAAGGTTCTACTACAGCAATGTCCACCATTTCTCTAACCCCCTTTTTCTTCTATGGAAATGGTGTTCCTGTCCTACTGTACACTAGACTGCTAATCCCGCTGTTCCAAAAGAATGCCGCTCTGCACAAACTCTTAAGGTAAAAATACTCCCCCCCCCAACCAAACATATAACTATCTGAATTATACAGTTATGCTGCAGATTAAAAAGTAGTTTGCCAAATGAGAAAACATGCATGATTTTGTTTTCAGAAAGAGAAAGTGATATTCAGAACCTCTTCAGGTCTTCCTAAAGCAGGTGTTCCAGTAAGGAGAATGGCCCGAACAGCATTCTGTACAAGTGGTAGCAAAATCTTGCTACGAGTCGCATTTCTGGATTTCATGTAGTGAGACTCATCAACCACCACTACTTTGAAGTTCTGCTTGGATATAGTATCTACTAAGATTTGTGCATCTGAAGTTAACAGTCCGTAACCTAATATGATGACTTTGCTTGTAGAAATTCTCCTAGAAGTGGAAAAAGCAAAGAACTGGCTACTGGCTATAAATGCAATTTCAATATACTAGTAATCCCTTGAAATAATATTTCCATAGTATGTAGAAATCTCTATATATGACATGTTTAACTTGGAACCTTAAAAAACACAGGATTATGGTTAAGATGTCAAAATTAAGTTGTAATTTTGGCACCCCTCCTTTAATATTCCAAAGAGGCACATACTAAAGGTGTGTTAATATAAAAATGACTGCATTCAATCCCAGCTTGTGTGGGAAGTATCAAGCTCCAGTTTGCACAATCACTTAGGTTTGGACATGATGGCAAATTGGAGACTGATCAAAACAGGAAGTTTTAAAGCCAACAAGATATGTGAGAGGTAGCAACAGCTGGGAACAGCAACAGAAGCACTCAAGCACAGCAAACAAGCCATCACTGTGCCAGATACAGACAAATTTATGTTTAATCTCAGTCCCAATGTAGTCAATTTCTGTATTTGATTTAAAAAGCTACAACAACTTAAGTGTTTGACAGTCTGTTATTTTTTATCCCATGTAAGAGAAATAAAACCCATATTTTACATTTGCTAAGCAGGACTCAGCTAAATTCTATTTCAGTCTTTTTACCTGAAAAGTGAAAATGTGACTTAATACAACTCCTCGTTTCATATTTCAACCAGTCCATTAATGTTTCACTTTGCTAGGTGTTCCTGCATTTTTTTTATATATATATATATATATATATGGAGCTGCGGTGGCTCAAGTGGTTAAGACGCTGCACTGCAGGCTGTGGAAGGTCAGTAGTTCAGCAGTTCAAGACCCCAGCTGCCGCATGACGGAGTGAGTTCCCGTCTCTAGTTCCAGCTCCTGCCAACCTAGCAGTTCGAAAGCAAGACATTGCAAGTAGATAAATAGGTACCTCTTCAGTGGGAAGGTAACAGCGTTCCGTGCGCCTTGGTGTTTAGTCATGCCGGCCACATGACCACAGAAACATCTTCGGACAGCGCTGGCTCTTCGGCTTTGAAACGGAAATAAGCACCGCAACCCTAGAGTCGGATTCGACTGGCTTTCGAGCAAGGGAACCTTTACCTTTTATATATATATAATTTATATATATAACCTTTACCTTTTATATATATATATAATCAAAACAAACCACCTAGAGAAGGTTAACATGTTTCAATCAACAAATCTAAGACAAAGCAGATATTGGACCAAAACTTTTAATCCGTGAAAGAATACTCTGTTCTTCACAGAAATGAAGTCGTGCCCAGTGAAAACTGAAAACGCAGCATGACTTCACCAATGAAGTAGCCTTATTAGCAAGGTGTCAACTCCATTTCTTGCTCCTTTTGACAGATACTGTTGGAGTGAACATAGCAAACTAAAAGCATGACACTTACCAGGTGTCAGTTTTATTTTGAATGATGACTATATCCTCTGGACCGAGGTCTGGAATCCATTTCTCTATCTCCTCAGCCCAAGGGTACCTCAGAGATGAGGGCACCACTATTAACAGAGGCCATTCATTTTTGTAGTGGTAAGATACCGCTATGGCCTGGATAGTCTTGCCTAGGCCCATCTAAGATATAATAAATTGAAAGAACACTTAGAACTCTTTATATGAAAGTAAGGAAAACACATTTCCATTGAGCTTCTTTAACTGAAAATTACAACTAGGTCTCAATGTACTGCTACTGTGATACATTTCGCAGAACCTGAATAACCCATACAGTACAAGAAACTATAGTGATAATCTCAGATTCTAGCTATATATTTGCTGAATGAAAGAGTCCTTTGGAGCCATAGTCCATTTGTTATTATAAATTTATGATGGTTCTGCAAATTAAAGGTACTTAATCATAAAAGAATTCTGGAAGAGATGTACATTTTAAGATCTATTATAGGCTGTACTTAAAGAGTTAATGATTTAAAATACACAACAAACCAACACCATTTTGTGGGACAGTTTGAGTGCAGTGCAGAGCTGCAAATTTAGAATTAATTTCATCCAATAATGTTTTTCAACAAGGTTCACGGCTAGTCTTTCAATGTAACTATGGGAGGAGCTTTGGCTCACGGATAAAACACCTGATATCAGATTCCCTGTTCAAGACCTGTGACTCAGTAGCAGAATGAATACTTAGCATACAGGTTCAGTTGCAAGTATCTTCTAAAGATCTCTGGAATTATCTTTGCTCAAGCCCTTGGAAAAACATTACGAGCTAGAATACTGAGCTGGCAACGGTTGGACTCAGTAACAGTCGGACTCAGTAACAAGGCAGATTTACATGTTCATATGAGCAATGGTGGAAATCTCACACTGAATCCGATGGGGGAAAAATGTTATAGGACTATGAGGTGGTGTCTGACCTGTCTCTTGCCTAGAAAACCCCATGGGGTATTCATAAATCAGCTATGACTTGACAGGAAAAAAAAAAGAGGTGCCAGTAAAAGGAGCAAAGGAAGCTTACTTCTCTCCTTCCACTGTGTCAGCTGACTTTCATTCAGCTCAAATGTTTAGGGCAATTTGATTATTGATGACACTTAAAAAGGAGTCATTAAAAGATACAGCTATGTCTTTAGCTGTGATATTTTTGTATATATCTTTGATGATAACACCTTTCAAAGCCAATCTAACTTATACACTGATTTATCAGGGGACCATGTAGCTCTGCCACGTCCTAACTGTATGGATCATTTTAGCTTGGTCTGAATACTGTTCACAGAATCCTAAGGGGTGAAGGTCTCACAACCCCCTGGTCTTGTTAACATATTTTATATCACTTTACTAATAACTAGGCTCTCAGACTGGAGATTTGTGCACCAACTCACCACCCACACCCTCCTTTTACCTTTTACATAAGGTTCACTGTCAGCTTTAGGTGTGTGTAGGGA